TTTGAGGGCGGGGGAGGACTGCTGATGGAGATTTGGGTCATGTGTAAAGATGTGGCACAGATGGCACACTAGAAAGCTGTGGCTGCTTCATAGCTGCGACCAATGCATGCTGATTATTTTTGCTACAATACACACTGTTTCAGTGACTTCTGTCAGGTAGAATGTTGAACTGAGCAGGTAGACATGGAGTAGATCGCCAGCTGAAGTCAGGGGTGTCAAAGATGATCGCCCAGGCCAATGTTACAGCAGGCGAGGACGACTTTATTAAAAAAACAGATTATTGCAAGGTGGCAGGGGGTGGCGATATTGCCACAGGGGAGAAAGGCTGGGACTGAGTCTGAAGTCCACCCCGCTGAGGCCGTGGTCTGGAAGGTGTAAGGACTGGAGTCAGCTAGTAGAAGGTCGCTGGGGAGGGTCAGCGAGGGGTGTGCCGATCTCAGGGACTTATCTCCTGAGTTGACCGTTAGAGTAGGTGGAACACGTTCCATCTGGATTCCGTGAGGGCCAGGCGGAGGGGGCCGGCCAGGGACCTCCGTCAGGAAGAAGCCACGGAGCCTAGTCCAGCTGAGGGGAGCATTACTTTGGTTAGCTGTTCTCTGGGACGCAAAGGAGTGGGGGGGATTTCCAGGATCACAGGGCTCAGGTAAAACTCAACATCGTCACCACAATGGCAACATGGGGCTCAAAAACAAGGTGGTTCCGGGACTGTGGGAGAACTTGGCTTCATGGGAGAGCGGCCGCAGGGCCATGAGCAGTTCTAGTCACGTGGAAGGATGACAGTGAAGACTGGAGTAGCGACTGAATTGGAACTGTCGTTCAAGTGTTTAATGTTGTTGAGAGTCTATTACTCCTTTTGAGTATTCTGCCAAAAATTCTAGTATTTGAAAGTGTGATAAACCCATAAGATAACGTTGAGAAGCCCTGGACACCTAGAACTCCCTTGAGAGCAGAAGCGCTGGCCTGGGCTTGAGTTTGGGGTTGGCCAAAGGCGGGCCTGGAGAGCGTGGCACTTGAGGTTTGGGGTTGGAAGGTTAGCACCTTACAGGCTATTTCCTCTCTGAAACCAGGTTTAACTTTAGGGAAACTTCTCCCACTAACTGATGGAGATGCCCTCAGCTGCAAACCAGGCTCCTTGAAAGGCCTGGATCATGATCTCATGTTGTCGGTTCCGGTGGCTGCTCAAACTGGGTGGCTTAAAACAACAGGAAAGTTTTCTCTCAGAAGGCGCTAGGGGCAGATCCTTCCTGTCTGCCTCTCTCAGCTTCTGGGAGCTTCAGAAGCTTGGCTTGTATCTTCACTCTGCTATCCTTCCTCTATCTGCCTCTGTGTCTCTTCTCCTCTTATAAGACACCCCTCAGAAGGGATTAAGACCCACCCTACTCCAGTATGACCTCATGTTAACTGACAAACCCGTTGCCGTCGAGTCGATTTCTACTCTTAGAGACCCTATAAGACAGAGAAGGACTGCCCCATAAGGTTTCCAAGGAGTGGCTGGTGGATTCGAACTGCCAACCTTTTGGTTAGGGTCGCTATGACGACTCCACGGCAATGGGTTACAGGTTACGTTTTGGTTAACAATTGATAACATCTACCCAAACCCAACCCAGTGCCTTGATTCAGACTCATAGCGACCTTATCTACAAAGACTCTATTTCCAAACAAGGTCACATTCACAGGTACCAGGGGTTAGGACGTCAACAGATCTTTTTGGAGGACACAATTCAATCCATAACACCTCATGTGCTAGCTACTAGACTTCCCAAGGAAGTGGTCACCCGGGAAAATGGTATAAAGCATGCATTTTCTTTCTTGTGTTCCCAACCATTGTAGAATTTTAAAAATCAAAAGAGCTAAAAAACAAGGAATTTTAAATCTCATAGAAGATGAAAAAGACCTCAAGAGGCCACTTAGCACGGAACGGATCTGCATTTCAACCATTGAAACTTGAACCGTCACTGAACTTGAACCGCCTCCTTTCTTTAAACGACTTCCTTAAAGAGATTCTACTTATATCAAGCCCAAGTATGTCTACCAACAGAATCCAACAATTCATAGCAGTTCTAACACTTTGGAGCAAGGAGCAAGGAAAAGACTAAATCACTGAACAGTTCTTTCAAGAAAGCTTAGTGTGTCCCTGAATTACAAAGGAGGCCCACAAGGCCCAGCGTGAATCGGCCTCTACTACCCCTCTTCTCTATTCTCT